TTTTGGTACCAGGGTTCGAACTCAGGTCCTAGCGCTTTCGAGGCAGGCGGTGGAACCACTGAGCTAAATCCCCAGCCCTATATCTAGTGTCTTTAATCACCCTAGCAAACAGACCTGCCTCACTAAAAAAAAGGGTTTCTGAGCTGAGTGTGGTGGCACACACTTGTAATTCCAGCATGTTGGGAGGCTGAGGCAGGAGGTTTGCAAGTTTAAGTCCAGTCTCAGCAGCTTAGTGAGACCCTTTCTCAAAATAAGAAATTAAAAAAGCTGGGAAGGTCTGTAGTGTGCAGGTCCTAAATTTAGTCTCCAGTACTACAATAAATGAATGGTAGCTGTGGTTAATTGCACTGCATTCTTGGTCTTATCCATTTTTCCCTCTTAACAGACGCTGCATTCAGGTGGTACATAAACTGCTTTGCTACCAGAAGAAGTGTCGAGTCCGGCTGCAGTACACATGGCGGGAGCTCTGGTCAGGTAACTTTTCCTTTTGGATTCCTCTTCTTTTCCCGTGACTTTTATGAGTACCTAGGCCTGGCCTCAAGGTGGATCTCCCCCCGCCCCGCGCCCGCCCCCCAAACCTTGGAGCTTGTGTAGGATGCATCTCTTTTCTTGTTTCTCTTCCCTTCTCTTCTTTCTTCCCTCTCTGTTTTTATCTCTGTCTCTCTCTTGTATTTTAGTCCTTTTTTGGCCAGCTCTAGAGACATTTATACCTGTGAGTGATACTCATTCATTCATTTGCAGTATTGGGGATTGAATATCGGACCTTCATCTATCACATATTCTTTCCACATTTTCTCTCCTGTTCCTTCTTTCCTGTTTTCCTTTTCTTTTTGTGTGTGAGCGTGTGTGTGTGCGTGTGCCTATGTGTGTGTGTGTTGGTAGAAACTATCGAATATTTCTTGAGTTCCAGTGATTCTTTGCATAAGACTAAGCTAGGAGGAGTCAGTATAAACTTGGGCTCTTGCTCTGCTCCATTTGGTAGCAGCATATCAACTGTAGAGAAGTTTGTATGTTTCTTCCAGATGAGACTGGAGAGGGGTGTCATAGGTTGAGGGGTGGCCTGGGGTGGAAAGATGGGGGATCCTGTTCTTTGTGTTACATCTGGCATTATTACTGTTTACAGACAGTGCTGATTGTTCCACTCCCCTCGCACATGAGACAAAACAGCAAATTACAGTGTTTACTTCTGTCTTTGTATCCATTGGGTAGCCCAGGGAAATCACCGCCACCCTGCAGGCGGGAAGTGGGTCTTCTCTAGGATACAATTAGTGCTGGCTTGCCACCCCTCTCTTATATGCAACTCAGTGGGCGGCTTTGGAAAAGCGCAGGAGACTTGTTCTCAGAGGCTGCTGCTTGCTGATGGGGCCTGTAGCTTTGCGACCTGATGGAACAGTGGTCTCCTGCTGGCTGCTCTAGAGTGTGGTCCTGCCCTGCTCAGCAGGGGAGGATGAGTTAGTGTCAGAGGCTTTACAAGAGGATGCATTAGTGTCAGAGGCTTTACAAGATTGGGCCAGTAACCCAGCCCCTTCTATGGAATTCATCTCACTTGTTGTGACACGTGGTTTCCTCCGACCCAATTTGGCTTTCTAAATTTAGTGTTCTATAATGAGAAGTAGAGATATTTAATTAATGGATTAGAATGTTTTTGCAGCTATTGCATGGTAGTGAGGGGGGAGTAAGAGAGCCTTGCTAATTGGCAATAGAGGCATTCTGGTATTTTAGGAGAGAAGATTATGATCATGTGAGAGTTTGATGTTGAAGGAATGTCAGAAGAGCTGAAGAGAGATCACAAGAAGTTGAAATAACTAAAGTTAGTAGAATTTTTAAGGTAGCAAAGATTCTTTTTGATATAAAAGGCTCCCATTGTTCCTGTGGATTGTAAATATGACTGTTGGGCTCTAAAAGTCTGGGATTAAAGTGAAAATGCAAAATGATGCCCATCTATGCATTTGGTGAAGCTGTAGAATTCATAACAAATGCAAGTGGTTTATGTCTGTAACTGGGTGAGTTACACTTTGTAGTATTCAGCAGTTGGTAGTAGTTGCTTCTGCCTCCTGCTTCTGGTTCCCTTCTGGTTTTGTTTTCTCTTTTGTTCTGTTGACTGTCCTAACTCTTGTGATCTCTCTGGCTTTTCTCTCATTATCATTGTCCGGTGATCCCATCAGTCTTTTGACATCTGTCCTTCTGTTGCCCTGTCTGTCTCCCCGAGGTCCTGGATACTTCCCATTGTTCTCCGACCTCCATCTTGTATTCCCTGTCACCTGCATGAATTGGCCCTGTTATCATTGTGAACTATCTGTCCTGTCCTTTGTGCTGTTGTTGTCATACATTTTATTTTCATACACGTCATAAACCCCTGAATGCTTTACTGTCTTTTTTTGTTTTTTGGCATTGGTTGGGACCAAACTCAGGGTCTTGCATATGGTAGGCATATGCTCTACCCTACACCAGCGATATCCCCTAGCCCCACTGTTATCATTTTTGCTAAAACAAACAATTATGAGTTAAATGTAATTGTGTGTATGTGTGTGAGTGTGTGTGTGATACTAGAAGTTGATTCCAAGGCCTTTACACTGAACTATTTCTCCAGCCTTTAAAAACTTTAATTTTTAATTTTAATTTTTTAGACAGGGTCTTGCTAAATCACCAACTTTCCCAGGCTGGGTTTCACCTTGAGATCTACTTGTCTCTGCCTCCAAGAGTGCTGGGATTACAGGCCTGTACCACTTGCCTGGCTAAAAATGTCTTTTTCCCCCAACTCAGTATCTTGCCATTCTGGTAGCAGCTTGTGAAGAAGAGCGTTATTTATCCTGTATTGGCCGGTTGACTTTGTCGTGAGGGCTTTGTCGTGTTTAGCTCTGTAATTATGTGCTGCTCCAGACTGACTGGTTAACGTTCAAGATCCCTGACAGGTTGAAGGCAGGGCTCTGACTGTTGTCCCTGAGTCCTGGGTGACTGCTTGTTTCTCAGGCATAGGTACTTACAGTAGAGTTCTCTGCCAGTTGAAGTTGGCTCGTTTTCCCATATGGACTGCTTGAGCCCTTCTGCAGCCCTGGCTCTGTGCGTTTGTACACGGAATGTACAGTGAGATGAAGAGCAGCAGGTGTTCAAGAAACTGCAGAACACAACCCTATAGCCGGGGTGCTGGGGCCCACGAGAATGTACACTACCACGTTCAGTGAACACAAGTCTGGCTATGGTGATCCACCTACTCCTTGGCTGCTGCTACGCCTCACATGTTGGAATGCCCATGTTTTCAGTCTTTCTTTTCCCTATAGAGTTATGGACTTGAGGGAGGCGTGTGAAACTCATTATGGCAAATACATACGCTTATTTGGATATATGCTGGTCCATTCATGTGCTGTAAACCCTAATTGATGTTTATTTATAAATTAGACATGTAGGGTTAGGCTGGACACCTGGGATTCTTGGGAATAAAAAGCAGGTGGCTAGGTTCTGAATGTCTTTTGTCACTGGGCATGATGGGATTTGGTAGCACCTTACTGTGACTACTGATTTTTATCACTGCGCTATTTGAATACAGTTACTCTGTTATTGGGATGGTAGCTAGCAGTTCTGTTAGGGGTGAATCCCTGGTAGTGGTCTGTGGAAAAGGAGGAGGCAGCTGTACTAGTTGGGGGTTTACTCCTCCTTTATATGCTTTTCCTACTATGGCCCTGACCTACCCCCTGTTGGCACCTGTCTACATGAGGCCTGTTAGCATGGTATCTGAGTATGTGTGGAAATATATTGAGACTAATTTCAATTAGAATATGGAAGGGAAGAGGTCCACTTGTCTGTATTATTTTTTTCCCCTTGTTTTTGTTTTTGAGACAGAGTTTCACTATGTAGCTCATGTGCCCTTGAACTCGCTTTGTAGTCCAGGCTGGCCTTGAACTGGCAGTGATCCTTCTAGCTTCAGGCTCCTGAGTGATGGGATTCAGGCGTGTACCACCACCCCTCTCTGTATTATTCTTTTAGCAGTCCGTGTGTGTGTGTGTGTGTGTGTGTGTGTGTGTGTGGTGCTGGTTACTGAACACAGGGCCTTGCAAAAGCTAGGCAAATATTCTGCCACTGAGTCACTCCCCCCTTTTTTTACCTTGTTCTTTTGAGACACAATCTTGATACGTCGTTCAGACTAGCTTTGAACTTAGTAGGTAGCCCAGCCTGGCCTCAAACTTGCAAAGATTTTCTTGCCTCAGCCTCTTAAGGGTTGGGATTATAAGCATGTGCCACCATGCTTGGCCTCAGTCCTTTTTAAAATTTTGTATTTTGAAACCAGGCATGGTGGTGTACGCCTGTAATCCTAGCACTCGGGAGGCTGAGGCAGGAGAATCGCTGTGAGTTCGAGACCAGCCTGGGCTACACAGTGAGTTCCAGGGTAGTCTGAACTACATAGTGAGACCCTGTCTTAAACAAACAAGCAAACAAACAAATAAATAAATAGAATTTTTTATTTTGAAACAGGCTTTTGCTGGCATCATGCCTGCCTTGCAAGTTCAGGGTCCTGAGTTTGATCCCTGGTACCACAAAAACAAACAAACAAAACAGACTTTTGCTGCAGTGCCCAGACTATCCTCAAACTTGTGATCCTCCTGCCTCAGCCTACCAAGCAGGTCGGAATACAGGTGTGCACCACCATGGCTGGTAGGGATTCAAAAAATATTTGAATGAATAAATAAGTTTGTAGAATTTTCCTTAGTAATGAATTAGCCTTTGCCTAAAGCAGTACAGTATTGTGTTTGGGCCTCAAAAAAAAGTAATAGTAATAATAATAATAATACCTAATAAGATGGTTGTTAGTTTCTGATAAGATAACTTTCTTTTTTTTTGAGCCGGGATTGAAATTGAACTTGAGTCCTTGAGCTTGGGAGGCAGGCGCCAGAACCACTGAGCTAAATCCTGGGCCCCTAGATAACTTCCTTTTGATAGGGCCAGCTGTTCAAGTTAGTTTTATTTGAATTGTTGGTCTGAAAGGAAGTCAAAGGTAATTTCTTTCCTTTATCTCTTTCTTCCTTTCTACAGATGCATGGATTGCTTTTGGCCAACTAAGAATGGAAACTTTGGTGGTTTCTAAGCTATTAACCAAAGAATGAGCAGAATGTTGAGAAGCAGCAGTTGTTGGAAGGGGAACTATTTGAACAGAGTGTCACAGGATCAGTTTATTTTACCTCTACTGTAAGGGAAGGCTGAGTGGCATTGGAGAGGCAGCCTGAGTTTAAATAATGTGACTTTCCGCAGTCTGAAAAAAATGTGTCGGTTTAAAGGTAAATTTGTCCTGGCATTTTTATTGGCTGTTCATCTGTAGATCACAGTCCTTTTTACCCTTTCACTCTGACATATCACTGGGTGATGTCATTGCTTTACTTTCAGTTGCTGGGGAAGGCAGTAGAGCTATTGAAGGGTTAAATGACTTGACAAGGATTGTGGAACCAAATACTAAACAGACATGGTTAGGACTTAGAGTTCTTGAC